GTGGAGCTCAGAAGGAAACCGTAGCACCTGCTCCTTGTTTGGGTTCTACCTGAATCTCTTAGTTCAGAACCGACTCTCACCTGAAGAACTGCATGAAGCTAAAGCCGTAGCCGTGCTGCTCAGCAATTCCAGCACAGACCACGTTGGCCGAGGCTCCGATCAGAGTTCCATTTCCTGTCCAGACAGGAAACAATGATAAGTTTAGTTACTTGACAACAAGTGATATCTGGGGACAATGGTCCACAGCTGCAGGTACCAGGAACCTTGAACCAGAACACCGAGGATCCTGGTCAGGTTCCTGTGTTCCTGTTCTTCAAAGACACGTCAGTCTTTGACTTTATGATGGACTCAGAACTTCTCATCTGCTCCTCACCTCCAAGACAGGCGCCCATGGCCAGAGCAAAGATCAGAGGTTTGAGGGGAAGATCCACGTCTACGTCCTGACTCAGGTTGATCAGGACTGGGATCTGGGAGAAGATGAGTCACAGAGAAGAAGATGAGCTTTATAAACAGCATAGCATCGTTGTCTTCTTCTTCTTCTTCTTCTCACCATGGTGGCCGTGAAGGGGATGTTGTCAATGAGTGAAGACGCCAGAGCTGAGACCCACATCACCAGGATGATGGCTATGGCCAAGCGCTGGTCTTCTGGAACCGCCTGAAGACAGAGGACAAGAAGACCATGAATGAGAACCTGGTCCGAACCAGCAGGACCGTCAGCGCCACCTGCTGCTACAATAGTCTCAGAAAAAGTTGAACTGGAACAGGGTCACAGTCAGACGTTGTTTTTTCTTAAACATAATGGTGGGGAAAGGTCAAAGGTCAGACTGACTTTGATGAGAAGAGCCGTTTGTTCTCCGATGTAGTCGATGAGCTGCAGCTGAGCCAGGGCCTGGAAGAAGAACCAGCAGGTTAGGGTTCTATTCACTGCCATGCCCCCTGCTGGTGGGGAGGTCATAAATATAAAGAAGGTGTTGCTCATTACCTCCATCAACACAAAGAGCGCAGCAAAGAACAGCAGTGTGGCCCACTCCACCCTGTGGAGGATCATCTCAAAGTCCTGGATGTCGGCCAGGACCAGGAGCCACAGGGCTCCGAGGACCGCGATCCAACCTGGACAACAAAGGATGAGGGTAGAGACCCCTGCTGGTAAGACTGCACAACTGAACAAACGTAGGAAGAAATCCTAGAGGTAGAACTTCATTCATCCATCAGGAGTTCCTGAGAAAGGCTCAGCAGCTCCCCCTACAGTGGACAGCTCCATCCTCAGATCTTCTGACTCGGTTCTTACCCAGGTCCAGATGGATGCCGGGAACAAAGGAGTTGAGGAAGAACATGACGATGACCAGAACCAGGACGGAGATGCACTTGACCAGGAGAACTTTGTCAGTGATTCTGTGCTGTGAAGAACATGGAGACAAGGAGGTTGGACTTCACTGTTCTGAAGATGATCAGGGTTCTCGCAGGTCTGTGTGTGTCATGTGACCTTTGAAGGTTCTTACCTTCTTCTGTAACTCCTGGATGTTCTGCTCCCAGTTCTTGTCCTCCTGAGAGATTTCTCTGTCCACACAGAACCACACACACGTTCTTTGAATATGGGAGAGAGTCGGGGGAGGAGGGGTGAGTGGGGGGAGAGGCTGTCCTGTTCTATTACCTCTGGAATGTTCTCATCATCTTCCTCAGCAGGTTCTCCAGGTTCAGAACCTTCTGCATCAACAGACATTTGACTGCGGTCTCCTCTCTGCTGGCAGGATTGATACGCTGGGCCGTCTGTCTCCAGACCAGGATCTCATGTTGGAGTTCTACAGGAGCCACAGACGGCAGGACATCAGAGGGGGAGCCACAGACGGCAGGACATCAGAGGAGGAGCCACAGACGGCAGGACATCAGAGGGGGAGCCACAGACGGCAGGACATCAGAGGGGGAGCCACAGACGGCAGGACATCAGAGGGGGAGCCACAGACGGCAGGACATCAGGGGGGGAGCCACAGACGGCAGGACATCAGAGGAGGAGCCACAGACGGCAGGAGATAAAGGAACAAAGATGAGAACAGTGAAGGAGAACCGACCGACGATTTCAATGGACTCCTTGTTGTAGAGCTTCTTGTTCCAGTAGATCAACCGTAACAATGGGAAGGAGCAGAGGAGAACCAGGGAGATCCCCAGGAACATGTAGCCTGTGAACGAAGCAAAGTCGATTCCCTGCAGAAGAAGAAGAAGAAGAAGAAAAATGAAATGTTCCATGATTCAATGAGGGCGGGGGAGGCTGTGGGGGAGGCTG